CTAGGAGCTGGAACCAACTTCCAAGGGAAGTGGTGCTGGCCCCTACCCTGGGGGTCTTTAAGAAGAGGCTGGATGCCTACCTGGCTGGACTCATTCGAGTCCCGTTTCTCTTTTTGGGGTTTTTTGTTGTTCTCCCGCCCTGGCGGGGGGTCGGGCTAGAAGATCTACTAGGTCCCTTCCGACCCTTAATCTATGAATCTATAAGTACTCAGCATTGACCTGATTATGCCAAGTGGAATTTCACTATTGACTTCAGTGTGAGCAGAGTCAAATTTTAAACTGAGCTTTCAGAAATTCCACCCTTTATTCCTTAACCAGTGCTCTTATACATTGCAGAGTCCTTATTCCTCACTGAGAATTACAATAGTGAACCTATATGCCAAGTCAGATATGTAAAATCTAAACTATTTTGCTATTCTGTGCTATTAGAATGACATCTCTCCCCCAGTTGCCAAATATGATGCATGTCTTTGAACCACTCTTTGATAAAAATGTTTGGCCACTTCTTAGTGAGACTTTCCAAACTAGTTCACCTTTGGGGTGAGAACAAACTTAGGAGACAAATGTCAGGAGTCACTTTTTCCTGAAGGCTTTAAATCCCTATGGAGAGGGGCTGCTTGTTAGAGCACTTCAGCAAACAAAACTATGGCTTTTTACCTTGGAGATTAATAAAGATAGCACAAATTGGAAAATGCAAACACAGTTTGTGGGTTGCATGTCCAATCTCTTGCTGAAGTTCAAAATGTCCAGGGCAGCTCTTAGTTCAAACCTGAGGGCTAGATTGTAACTTTATAGTTTGCCCAGCATAAGAAATAAAAATTTGTTTTGACTGCCACTTGAGTACCCAGCAAGAGAGACTGATTGTGACTCAGAGAATCTCCTCGAGGGCAAGTATCTTTTGCTGTGTCTATATGCAGCACAGCCACCTTTTTGCTGTATACAGCTGTGAGTCTCAACTAGGGTACCAGGGCACTGTAGTGTGCCAACAGATCTTTTGAAGGGTGCCCTGAGGTATGAGGCAGTAAGCAGGTGCAGGGAGAAAAGTGCAGACTTGAGCTAGTCCCTGCTGCTTGGCTGCTGCCCTGCCTCCACTACCCAAGCCCTTCTGCAGGGGTTTATACAATTTATCACAATAGTAATAAATAAAATAGCTTTAAAATGGGATGTTGCTAAATTCACAAGAGTTGGGGGGTGGGGGTGCCTGGAATTGAACAAAGGTGTGCCTCAAGTCTGAAAATGTTGAGAGCTACTGGTATAGGGTATTCATAGGAATTGTGCAGGGCTTACATCCCCGTGAGTGCTGCTACTAGTGTAGCTAGTGTAAGAAAAGGCAGGCCACTATTTATCACTTGCTTCTCCTTATGACTAGGCAAGCCAGACCATGTGCACCCTTGCATTAAGGGCCCAGTAAACACAGATGCATGTTAACAATTGAGAACATGCTGTAATATTTAGTGAGCTGTTTCCTTTTTTTCTCTTTTTAGCAACACCATGCAGTGCTCATACTACTGTCATATAGTGTAAAGCACACAAATTTTACTTTATGGATGCCAGAAAAGCTTGCCACATTGTTCTGAGTTATTTCTTTGAGAACTAAGACTCTGCAAGTGTGACTGAACCTTAAAACCCTAATCCTACACTTTTGAAAACCCTAATCCTGCATAGACTTCAGTGGAACACAGAGAGGTTTTGCTCCTGAATTCCAATGCTGGATTGGAGAAAGAGATATTTATAGGGCTTTATGGAAAAACAGGAGATATTTATAGGGCTTTATGGAAAAACAAGAGATATTTATAGGGCTTTATTTGATGGAAAAACAATTTTGTATATTGTCTATGCATTTGGCTTGAATACAATTTTTTTCATGTTGTTCAAGTGTTAATATGGATTAAGTCAAAACAAATTTACATCAAGACTACCCTCAGCTTTGTGAATGTATGCATTAAAACAAATACTTTGGAAAAGTTTTTTTGTAATTCACAGGAAAGCTATTCATATATCTTCAATAAATTCGGCAGTTTGGCTTGTGCTAACTTACCTAGAGATTCCAAAATGTCCTTTATATCTGTAATTAGGCAATCTAACTTGTAATTTTCTTTGTGAGAAGGAGCATCTGTTTCTCCATAGCCTCTCAAGTCCAGTGCCACAACTCGATATTCACTTTTAAATTCTCGCAATTGATGACGCCATGAATACCTAATAAAGGGGAAAAAGCTGTAGTTAAAAGGCTAAATGATATAATGCTGCAACTGTTATAGGTTCAGTTTTTGTAACACTACAGCCTGAATAGGCTAAATCATATTTACTTTTACTTGTATAAGTGCCTTTTACATAGTTGTGTGACAGGAATTTTTGGCACTTATGCAGTTTGGATTCTGTTTGGATTCCTTGTGGTAGCACAGGAACATTTGGGAGCATATGCATCAGAGGAGGAGTTTCCACCTTTTAGCTCACTAATGCACTAACTAGGAAACTTATCCAGGGAGCAGAATACCTGGGTTCTAGGCCCCCTCACCTAGAGAGGTTTTGAATCTGCATAGCCTACTTTCCTGTAAAGTGCTCACGCCACCAGGCCACAGTTTAGTGTGCTCTTCCCCCTTCCTGCAACTGGAATGCTGTAACTTGCTTTTAATAATCATTGTATAAAACAGTGAGATAATCTGAATAAACAGATGTGTGGGGGCTAGGTTATAGCCTGGTCTTTTCCCTACTGGGTGCATCTACATAAGACATTTTACTGTGCAGCTGCCTAGTTTATTGTGTGGTAAGTGCACATCTACACATGTGCATGCTTACTGCACAGTAAAATGCAGGTAGCACATTTAAGTGCGATTAGTAACTGAGCAGTAACTCATGTATAGATGTGACCCGGCAGCAAATTTGCTGCTTGGTCTGCCCAGCCACTAGGGTGCTAAAGCATAGGAGCCTCTCCTGTTCTAGGGCTGGGCTGCCTTTATGGCAGCCCCTGTCTGCAGGCTATAAAAGCCTGTGAATGTTTTGTGCCCTGGGGCACATGCACCAGGGAGCCTGAGGGCACTACAGGTGCTGTGTGTCCCCCTGGGCAGGCCACAGTCCTGCTGTGCCTGCTTCCCACCACCCCAGCAGTGCTTTGGGCAGGTAGGTGCAGCCCTGTCATCTCCCCAGGGCTGCCTGCAGGCTCTCTCTGGCAACAGGGCCAGCACCACCTCCCTGCTGCACACTCCCAGCAGCCTGCCCTGTGCCTGCAGGTGCTATGGGGCATAGCCTCTGCCTTACAGCTGTCAGTCTCTTGCCATGCCCCTGCACTGTGTGCTGCTGGCAGCTGTCCAAGGCCAGCAACAGAGGGACAGCCACATGGGGGCCCAGAGAGCTGGCATGGGACCCAGGATGGCATCCTCCTTCCCATCCAGACCTGACACTTCCCATGTGCACATGTCCTTGCCCTACACCCAGGGCGTCAACTGGGGCCAGGAGGAGGTTGGTGACCTTGTGGCACTCTGGGATGACATGGAGGTGCTGCACCAGATTGAGCAGGGTGGGAGCTCTGACACCCACATTTGAGGCCCTGTTGGGCAGGATGCAGGAGCGAGGGAACAACTGATCGGTGTGGCAGTGCTTGTGGGCACAGTGGGTGGCTGTGACTAAACACAATTGTTGGTCCAGCTGTGCCTACAAGACTATGCCCTTTATGTGGCAGCTGACCTCTGTTCTGGTACCCCAGGACTCAGGGTGCAACTGTGTGGTTTTATACTAGCATGGGCGGTCTCCCAAGCCCCCACCCCACCCCACCCCAGAACCACCAGCGATGTGTTGCCAGAGGGACACTCGGGTATTCAGCATTCTGTCTTGCCCAGCTCCCCACCTGCTCACTTCACCAGCAGCTCAGGGAGCCCTGGTCAGCACCTGCCTTGGCAGCTGTGCAGCCCCAGGGTCAGCTACAAGGAGCCACTGGCCGTGTCACTGCTAACCGTCAGCAATGCCAACCCCTCCCTAGGTGGAGCCCCTGGCCAGGCACCTGCATGCTGTGACCTATGGGCTGAGGACACCGGATGCCACCAGATGCCTTCATCTGCTGCAAGGACTGTGCTGAGCTGCTAGCTGTGCCAGCTCTGGATACATGGTAAGCCCTGATTTGTGGGGAAGGACCCTCCCTCCCCCAGCCCCCGCATCCCTCCCTGGCTTGCCTGCACATCCCTGACCCTGGGTTCCTCCTCCTCTCCCCCCCACCCTTAACAGCTCATGTTCCCGCAGCTAGGCAGGAACAGGCCATACCACACCATAAAGATCAGCTGCAGCAGGATGGAGTGGGCGGGGCACCCCTTGGCCTGCACAAACAGCTCATTGTGCGCTGTTTGGGGCACACGCAGCAGAGGCATGCTTGGGGCGCAGCAGCAGCGTGGCAGGGGGGTTGGCTCTGGGGAGCCTCCATAGAGAGGCCCTTAGCAGGGAGAGCTGTGGAATGGCCAGCTCCTTGTCCCAGTTGTCCAGGAGCCCCGAGTTTCCTGAGCCCAGGTGCTGTGGGCTGGGCAACAGCACAGCAGAACAGGTGGCCTGGAAGAGGGGGACAGGAACAGAGTCTGGAGCCCCAGCAGCAGGTGCTACCAGAAAATTGGCCTCTCCTGCCCTGGGAATGGAGCTGGGGAGGCAGGCTGCCTGTGTCCAGCACCCAGTGGGCCACCAGCCCCAGGGGAGCATGCAAGGATGGAGGGCTTGGCCAGCGGCTGCCTAGGCCCTGGCCTACCTGCCTGACTTACCATGGTCCCTGGGCACCCATGCACAGCTGACCCCGGATCTGAGACTGGGCAGTGCACAGCCCCTCATGCAGAGCATCTTATCTCTGAAATATTGCAAACTCACAACAAGCTTCTGTCTCATGGCTCTGCAGGTACAGCATCTGCACACGGGAGAAGCCACAGGCACCAATGGGGATGCTGGCTCAGGGAAGATGCTGCTCACCCCTGGGGCCCTCTGGATGCACTGGTTGTACCAGAGGTGCATCATGGACAGGGCTCTCCTCCTCCAAGAGCTGGTGGTGATGGCTCAGGAGCTGGAGGAGACCGCCAGGGGCTAGTGGGAGGAGGATTTGGCCTAGGAGGAGAGATGGCGGGAGGAGGACTTGGCCTACCAGGCCAGGTGGCGGAGGGAGGACATTGCCTGGGAGGAGGTTTTCCGGGCTGAGCTCCTGGACCTGTAATGGGAGTATATTGAGGTCCTGCAGGTGCAAAATACCATCCTGGGCCAGGCCATGCAGGCCACAGACAACTATCATTGGACCCTGAATACTCCTGGGCCTAGTGGCCTCGTTTGTGACTGCTGCTGCCTAGGCCCCAGCTATGGTCCCACAGGCCCCCTAGCAGTCACCCACTGCCCCATAGCATACCCCTTCCTGGGCTTGGGAGGAGGTCCTCTGCCCCCTCCCACCTCCAGGAGCTCCTGGCCCAGCCCTTGCCCCAGGCTCACTGCTCAACCCAGCCCTATGCAGGCATGGAGCCAGAGATGCCTGGAGCAGTGCCAGGACCGGATGCGTCATAGATTCATAGATGCTAGGGTCGGAAGGGACCTCAAAGAATCATCAAGTCCAACCCCTGCTGGGCCTGGACCCTGCCAGCTGGAGGGGAAGCCACCCACTTTGGCAGAGCATCACGTACTGTCGCCTCTGGACCAGCCTCCTGCCTGCTGCAGTCACTGCAGTGTACAGACCCATGGGGGGAATGGCCAGAGGCCGGAGTGGTGCTGGCTGCCTGCCCCCTAGGTACCCCATCCTGCAGCTCCCCACTCCAGGACTCCACAAAAAACGCACCTTGTATATAGCTTCCAGCAGGAAGAGGGTTTTTTATTGTTGGGGGTTAGGGTGGGTGGTGGAGGGGCTGTGTGTGTTGGGGAGGGAGGGGGGTCTGTTGTTTCTGAGGGAAATAAAGACTTGTTCTTCTGATGTGTGTCTACAGTGACCATGATGGGGGTGGGGAGAGGGGAGTCTGTGGGCAGCAGTGCAGGCAGGCTAGAGTGGGCAGTGCAGGAAGAGGTGGTTGGCCAGGTCCTCCCACACCTGGTGCACTGGGTACATGGCTCTCCTGGGACCTGGGTGGGGGTGCCTGCTGGGACCAGCAGGGTCAGCACCATGGCCAGCAGGAGCACAGGGTATTGGCTGTCACTGCTAATGGCAGGGGCTGGAGCAGTCATGGCGTCAGGAGGCAGAGTGGGCAGGAAAGGAGCTTCTGTATGCTGCCCCTAAGCTGGGCACACTGCTTCAAGGCAGGAAAGGGACTGCCCAGAGAGCAGAGAGTGGGACTGGCTTCTAAATATGGCTGCTGGGTGCTGGCAGCTGCAGCCAGAGCCTGGCCACAAGGGTGCATTGCCGGGCTGCAGGGACCTGGCAACAAATTTTCTCCCTAATTTCTGCCCATGTAGATAGCTACCCAAAAATGCTTACTGTGCAGTAAACTAGTGCAAAGTAAATCTAGGCTGGAATAAATGCATGTGTAGACATGTACACTAGGGCACTTAACTATATTCCCTCTGACTTGTGCTTCTTCTCCTGGACTAGCTGTGCTGAGAAGGAGATGTATGTTTAAACAATCTCAGGCTGAGGGGAACCTAGGCCAGGGGTTGTACATGTACCCCTGGGGGTACTTGAGAAGGCCGTGCAGGGTAGGCGGGGATGGAGCTCTGCCATGCACTATCCAGCACTGCTGCAGGCACTGCCCACCCAGCTGGATGCAGAGGGCAGATGAAGCTCACATGTGGCAGCTGCCGCCATGCCCCCCTCCCCACCAACTTGGCATCTGGCTGCACACCATTCCTCTCCAACCCTCCTTTCCCCGCTCAGCAGCCAGGAGTACACTGCTCCATGTCCAGCTGCCGAGGGGTACAATGATTCAAAAAGGTCGAAAACCCCTGGCCCAGTCCATAGGTGCCCTGCTCCTTGGGCAATATCCTAATGATGTAACTAGACCATTGAGTTAAGAGACAGAAGGGTCCTCTACTGGTGAGGTTTTTTTGGCAACTAAATTTTTGGGACTTACTCAGCATTATGCTCAGGTCTGGGCAATTCTGTTTCACTTAGGCACTTCTGTAGCTGCAGTGCAGCCTTCTTACCATGCTCATGAATCCCAAACTGTGTGTGTAAGTGTCAATAAATGTCAGTTGGTCTGTGCTCTTTCTGAATGGTATCATCCAGAAAGAGCACGGACCAACTGCGGATGCTTCCTTCGCCTGATGAAGGGTATTTATACCCGAAAGCTTGCAAAGAAGAATTTTTCCAACTATTTCATTTGGTCTAATAAAAGATATCAGATTTACCCAAAGAACTTTGTCTGCCCATGTCCTTAGACCAACATGGCTAAACCTATACCCCTGAAAAAATGGCACAGTTATGAAAGTGCCACTTGGGTGTGCAAAGGTAAAATAAGATTTAGTTCTTTAGGCTTTAGCTTGATGGTTTTGTCTGGGTAGGAATTCTACTATTAGAAGGGAAATCTCTGAGTGGAGATGAGTTGGTGTAATAGTTCTACCTTTCCAACCTATTGAAGCCCACAACACAAGAAACATAATTGAACAATGGTTGACCTGACTCCGGATGTTTTCAGTCATTTCTAGCTTCTGCAGTGGTTCCATGTAAGTTAGAGAAGCCTTGAGGTTGCACATCCCATGTTCTGGTACTATTTCACCTCAGTGTGAATTAAAACAAAGTCATCTCTCCTCCTTGCCTTGTTCATATGCCAAATAGGGTTTGGATAGAATGGAAACCAAGACTTCAGATGACAAGATAAACACACTTGTTTTTTCTTTTCAGGGAAAAAAATGTGTAACCCATCCACTAAGTGAAGTAAAGGATAATAAAGAATGTAACAAATTAATCTGATCAACTAATATGCTATGGTTCATCATCAATGTATTACTCAGTCTAATCCTAAAATAACAAAGAATAACAGCTATCACTGGATCAGTACTGAACACAGAATTTCAGTGTTTATGCTTCTATTTATAAAGGTAGAAATCACCTAAAGGAAATCCAGAATAAAGATGAGTTTAGTAATAATCTAGAGGTAGAGATTATTCTTGATTTTAGCAATAGTTGTTTGTGACTGCATAAAAATGGGGAAAGCTAAAATCACAAAAGGTAAAGGCCTTGATCCTGCAAAGTGCTACTTTCCCTAAACTCATTTTGAATTTAATTTTGAGGCTCTTCAACGCTGTCTAGGAGGTGCACAGCCCCATGAAGAACTGGGCCCCATTAGGACACAATTTAAGAGGACATGAAAAATAACGTGATCATTGTAACCATGGATAACATTTGATGAACTGTTCTGTGCTAAGAGTCAAGTTTTGCTGCAACAATTTCAAGTAAACAACATGAATGAAGCATTTGGGTAGTCAAATACCGTAAGGGAGATTCCTGAAAATTCTGCCAAACTGCAAATAATATTTTACATCAGACCCTGGCCTTTTCTGCATCAAGTCTAGCATGAACCAGTAAGGGGTTCTGCATACAATATGGCCATTACACTGGCACTGGATTAAGCAAAGAAAATTTTAGTTATATAAATATGGGATTTATCACCTTTCTATGTGACTGCCTTTACTTTAATGGAAGTAAAAGATTTAAGTAATGTAGTTCTCTAATAATGAATTTTAAAAAATCAGTATACACTGCCTCATGAGTTAAGTTTACCATGGTAACTGTAGGAGCTATGAGAAATACTTCACAAAGAAAAAGTAACGGCATAGCAAACATTTTCTTTTTTAAGAATATGCCCACTTTCTATGCCCACATCCTGCTGTCACAAGGGTCCATCAATCAATTAAAAGCTTGACTGAACAGTTAGTGCTTGCACTGCACCCAGAAGCTTACCAAATTCTAACCTTAGCAGACCATCAAAAGTAGCAGATCTGAGGCCTGGGCCTTCCAGTGAGGGTATTCTGCCTTTGACCTCAGAGAATTCTGTACATTTCGTAGAACACCTTCTTACTATGTATGAAGTATATCTAACCTGACCTCTGTTTTGCATGAACGATTTGGAAATGTTGGTAAATGCCTGTGTTTTTCTCAAGGCTAAGTAATTGTAACTTATTTTGGGGATTTTCTGATTGTGTTATTTTGGGAAGGCAGCTTATACAAAATTCAGCAGCTTAGATACCTTCTTACAGGCACTCAGCTGTCACAACATATTATCTTCACTTTAAAGTCTTTATATTGGCTTCTCATAACATTTTTATTGATTTAAAAATTCCTTTGCATATAAGGCACTTAATGCCTGTGGTGCTTTTTATATAGTAATTGACTGATTTTTGTTTTTATACATGCTCAGTTGCTCACTAAGGTCAGTCCTGGCTTGTTATATAGTTTGTCCTAGGTATAACCTTGAGACATTAAAAGTTAGATTTTGTAATTAAGTTTCCCAGTTATGGAATCACTCCTATTGCTTTTACTATCCAAACAGTATAGGTTCACTGCTGCCTTAAACAGCTCTAAAATTGCAGTTATTTTATTCAGCATTTTAAACACAGAATCTTGGTCTATACATAAGAATCCTTCAGTGTTATGACAACCCTAATTTTTTTAGCATGCATATTTTATTCTTATACATCTCAAACAGCACTTTTCATGCTTAATATTGTATTCCATTTGAACTGTCAGGTACTGAATGAGGCTAAAGCTATGACAAACAATCAATTTAGTAAATTTTGGAATCTTGTCTAATTTTCTTTAAAAATAATACTAGATGCTTTAAGTGGAACATAAGCATGATTTTCTAAATTATATCAGTATTATAAATTTAGTAGATTATTCGTACTATTACATTAGCAGAAAGTCTGAATTAAAGAAGAAACACAACACATGCACACAGAACAGGGTTGTTATTTAGATAAAATCTGTCATCTAAAATATCTTATTAGACTAGAATATGAAAAAAAAGATAGTTAACAACCAACTGGCAGATTTTAATCTATATTTATATTTCCTTACCCAATTAATTAGCAAGATATTATTAAAACAATCTGTTTTTTAAAATTAATATTTTAATGAGAAAAATTGCTCATGCTTTCACCAGCAGCCTCTATGCCTTCAATAGTTATAAAATATTGTAGATGTTGGGTAAATCTGAGATTGGTTGCCTATGTCAGCCCATCATGGACATAAACTGAGCACAATTTGATCTTCTCTATTTAGGAATCATTACCATCTTTCTTTTAAAATATTCAGATTCATTAGTTCAGTTATGATGAAGGTATGTTGGCAGTAAAACATTTCTAAGCACTCTAGTCAGTTTGACAGCTCAGAACTTTAAAATATCAATATAATATAAATACCAGTGTAAATGAAATCTGTTCACAACAATAAGAATAGCACCTCAAAGTTCGGAAAAGGAGTCATTGGGGGTGTCATTATTAGAAGTGCTCAAGACCCCTTTATGTCTCACTTGAACAGCAAGTCTCCACTAGTGAACCTAAACAAGCTAAAATCTGTGGTTTAGAAGGAAAGACAACCGTTTATTGAATTATCACATCCTGTATAACCTATTTGTTCCTTGAATGCAATTTCTCTAAATACTGAACAAACGATACTTCGCTTGTTAAATTTGGCAGCCATGGATTAAATTTTACAGCCAAAACAATCACAACAATTATTCTGAGCAAGTGTTTAAGGTTTGTTTAACTTTGATCCACTAGGCATAGTCATTTATTATAGGTACCATCATTTGTCTTCTGGTGAACTAATTATGGGCCCTGTCTTTGAAGAATGTCTTGTATTTGAAAGCTTGCGTTGGATCTATGCAGTTGGTCCAATGAAAGACATCACACTAAAAAAAATCCTTGCTTCCCACATAATTCCAGGACCATTATGGCTACGATTTCACTGTAACACTACCATGAAAACGATATACACTTCAAGAAATATTTTCTGATCTTGAATAGAAGCAGGAGATTTGGTATGTTGGTATGTTGGTTTGTAACAACCCCTCGAATTATGTTGCGGTTGGTGCAATTAGAAAAAAATGATGCAATTAAAAAAGACCATAATCAAATGTGATGGTTTGTCCTGTTCTAAAACTTAGCTTTACCAGGATACTTGAACATAGTTATGGAAAATATCAGAGGATGTAAGTATCGTAAGAGTGAGCAACTAAATCTTACAAAAGGACAGCAAGAAGTGAGTTTTACCAGAATTCTGGAAAGCCATGAAGCAGTAACATGAGCGGTTTGCCCCTTTCTCCTGCAGCTACGTAGTGGAATCTTAACCCTGAATCCTGGAAAGAAAAGAAAAGAAGTGTTCTGTTTGTATTGCTGTACAATGTTGCTGAAATTGGGATTTAAGTGGTGTTACTTCTCTGCCTATTCAGGCATTGCACTCTGATAATATTTCCAACTAATATGCCACCTGAGATGGTAACAGGGCATGTGGAATTTGCTAGGAACCATCACCCATTAATCTCCCACAGGATGCCAAACAGTGACTAAATGGGAAGGCTTTCAGTCAATACCAAGAGTACATTCTACTGTCAGTCTTGTCAGTTAGATGAGGCTATTCTTAGCTAATTAGAACTGTCTCACGTTGCAATCTGGTGTACAGCTGACAGACCAAATGGAATGTTTTAAATCAAACGTGATACAAATTAAGGTTGTTAAAAATCAGGTATTTCTGCCTCTCCTGCATGGATGTGGTTTAAAGCATGTTTATTTTTACCTTTAAAAGTTGGAGGTCCATAAAGATGTTATTCAGAGGGACAGAAAATAAGATTAATTAACTGTCTTCTTCCAACCCTGTCTGCATTCACTCTTATTGATTGGGGCCATGAGCCTTCTGAGAAATAAGCTTCAATCATTCATTATCATGATGAAAATTATCAATAGGCAAGTTACTTGTTGTTATTTTGCCAGAAGCAGAGCCATTCTCAGTTGACATAATGGAGTTTTGCTGACTTACGCTAGCTGAAGGTCAGGGTTAGTAGAATTTAAAAAGACTGAAATGAAGATCCAGTAGATTTGTTTGGATTCCTGCCTGCTTAATGAGGAAAACATCATGCTCAACAATAGACTAGACATGTCCAAAAGTTTATAGTTATAGAACTGAATAATATGGCCTGGATATTGCCCCTGAGCTTGTATGGTCTTCACCCAAGAAATCAGTTTAGTAGTAGATGCAAAAAGATGCTTGTCATGGAGTGCCCCAGGGGAGTACTTGCTTAGGCTCAGGAGACCCTGGCATTTCAGTCCCTGAACCCCTTGGTGGTCCATGCCCCTGATTCCATGAGATAGCTCTCAGTTCATTTCCTGGCAGAGGGACTTGGTCTCATTATTGGGCAGAATAAGTGCAAAGTTGTGACCAGCAAAATAGGTAGCTCTTCTTCCATAAAAACATTTACTGGGGAAGAGTACACCCAGCCAGAGGTTCTCTGCCCCTTCTAAAGGGTTAAGTAATCTCTTTGTCCTCGGTCCAGTGTGCACCCCAAAGTTACTTAGCTGTTCCCTCCCCAGTCTGCATAACTGGGAGCCCCAAGGCTGTTCTGTTGATTCCTGTCAACAGATTCCCCCCATCAGCAGACACTCTGCTTGTCTACTCTGTCATGACCATTATCACACTTATATCCTTCAGTTTCTCTGGAGCATCCTGGGTGTCCTGATCCTATCTTGTTGTGGTGTCAAAATGGCTATTCAAGCCCTGTTAATGCTGAAGATCCTGCACAGGGGCAGCTCTAGCACTTAGTAGGGAGATGTAAAGGAAAGTAATGTCTGTTTTGGAGGGTCCAGACCATCTCTTACAGTGTAGGCAAGATGTAAATTTGAAAGTTTTTCTATCAGGTGATTTTTCTCTGCAGGGATCAATTAAATGGATCCACTAGCAAACTGAATGCATACAATTGAATTTATAAATTGGTTTATAACACAGAGTAGTGCCTACTCTTTTACTATATATTGTTGACTCATTATCTCTGTCAAAATTTTCTTATGAAAAACAGCAGTTGCACCTTGCACCTTGCACATAGGTTCCCCATGGACTCTACAGAGTTATTGCTTATGTTTTATTAATACCTGGTACTTAGTGAAACAAATACTGAGGCTGAAATTCTATTTCACCAGGTTGGGAGATTACAGTTTCTGAATGCTTATCGCCAGCACTACTTTCAACAGTCCATCAGCAATTAATGAAAAGGTCAAGAAAATATAGTGTTTATATTGTTTTGACAAAAACCTTAAAATGTACTATATATATGCTTTCCTCACTGCAGCCAATGTCACTTCATTTAGTGTAGTTATTAGAGTAGGGGACCACAGGTAGAAGAGTCACCAGAAATATGACAGCAGTACAAGGGAAATAGGTCTTAAGTTGCAATGTCTTTGGCACAAAGGTGCCTTTTGGCCAGTCCTATGACTGGGACTTGAGGTGCTACTACATGAACAGTGAAGGATGACAGTAAAAAACAGAATATTGGAAAGAGTCATGGAGAAAGATCTGATAGAAACTAAGAAAAATGACAGGATAAAAGGATGAGAAAGCAAGAGACAGGAATGGAAGACTAGCTGTTAGGACAACACTGGGAGCCCTGCAATCTTGTAACTTAGGCAAAAGAGCCACCACCATCTGAACTCAGATCTGGCTTCCAAATGGTAGGATGGTGCAATCCCAGCTCAACCCTGTCCAGACCTCACTTCATTTAAAGTCAGGGCACACTCTGCAGCCCTGCAGGCTAGCACCAAGCAGCAGCAGCCTTGTTTGTTGGAGGCAAATCAGGTTATTTTTTGTGGGAGGCAGGACATCTTCCATCTTCAGAATCCAGCAGAAGGAATTCAGTCGGCCCAGAGGCGACTGGTAGGGGGTGCGTGGGGCTGCACATGCCCCCCCAACGGCCGACACTGATGCTGTTGGTAGGGCTGGTGCCCCCCCCGACAGGGTCGGTGGCTTCTGCGGGTGCCCCCCCAGATTCAGAAGCCTCCAGTCACTCGTGAGTCAGTCAGCAGGTGGGCAACCTAGTCTGGAGGCTCAAGACATCTCCAACCCAGACAACTTTGCTCTTCAAAACCCCATCCTGTTCTTACCAACATGGGAGCTGCTGCTCCCACCAAGGTGAGAGGCAGCTCAGCCCCAGGTGAGGACCGCGGTCACCTCAGGAAGGTGCGCGCAGTTCATGCCTGGTGCAGGACTCAGCCTCCTCGCATCTGGCAGCCCCAGAAGCATGGGGAGCGCCACCTCGCATTTCCCCTGGTCCCCGGGGCTTCCTGAGAGTAATTACCAGCAGCGGAGCGAGCTGGTTGTTAATGCCCTCTAGGGCAGTGCTTCTCAAACTAGCTGGTGTGGCGGACCGGCAATTTTTTTCCAGTGGGCCAGGGACCGGTGCCCGGTTCAGCCGGTGGCAGCAGCTGCGTGTAACAGCGCTACACAAATGCACGACCGGCCGTTTCTCTCTCTTTCCTCACTTCGCACGACGTGACGTCACCTGGGGTGCTGGAACGTAGGAACTGTGGCGCTATGACGTATCAATGTTTTGCTTCTGAAAATGTACGTCTTTCTTTCCTGGCAACTCGCTGCGGACCGGCGACCGGTGGCTCGTGACCACCACTTTGAGAAGCACTGCTCTAGGACACACGCCACGTCCCCTGGCTCAGCCGCCCTGGGTTATTGGCACGGGGTTTCCGGCGGCTCCTGCTGCGGGGAGGGAGTCAGGCCATCCCCGGCCTGAGCGGAGCCGATGCCGCTAAGGTCGAGCCGCTGGCGCGGAGGACGAAGGTGACCCGCAAGGATCCGGCGCTCGCGAAGCCAAGCCCTGGGCCGGCAACGAGCGGCGGCGGCGGCGAGGGGGAAGCTGCTCGGCGAGACCGTGAGCGTTTCAAAATGGATCGCTGCTCGCAAGCCCCATCTTTGTGATGCGCACGGAGCCGGGCGCGGGAGGGAGGGAGGCAGCCGGTCACCGCGGCCGGGTGCGGGTGTCCCCGGGGCCCCGAGGGCCGAGCACGGCAGCGCCGCCGCCCAGCTCGCGAGGGGCTCCCGCCCCGCAGGCGGACATGGCAAGTCATCCGGGCGGGCGGGGGCCCTTGCCGGCCGCCGCCCTGCCCCGCGCCCTTACCTTGATGCGCACGTAGCAGTGGGTGCCCAGGGACGGGTCATTGAGGCAGGCGGGGGGGGTCTCGCGGGTGACCCACTGGAAGGTCTTGCCCGGCCTCCTGCCGATGCTCCACAAAAGTTTCAGCAGCTCGAGGCAGGCGCAGAGCCCGCAGTAGCTATAGACCAGCGCCCAGAAGAGCAGAGCCCTGAGCGGCACCATGAACCTGCCGCGGATCCGCCCCGGAGGCTCCCCGGGTCTCGCCATGCGGCGGCGGCGGCGGCAGCTGCCTCTCGCCAGCCTCCCTCCCCGTCAGTGCCGAGGAGACGGGCTCCGCCAGCAGGGAGAGCAGCCGCGTGAATGGAGGCATGGAGACCAGCCCAGCCGGGAGAGGCAGCACGTCTGCCTCGCGCCAGCTGCAGGGAGCCAGCCGGGGCAGCCCAGAAATGCACCCCGCACCTTGCCCTCCTGCCTCCGCCCACCCCCTGGGCCGGGGCGCCCCGTCCTGGCAGAGGGCTCCCCCCTCCCCCGGCACTGCTCCCTGCCCCGCGCCGTACAACACGGGCACGCACATCATGAAAGTCGTGTCATCAACTGCAGTCACGTCCTCGTCTTCTAACAGCAGGTGTAAGCACGAGCACCTTATCACTTCCTCTTTCAACGGGAATTAAAAGCCATTAAAAAAAAAGGAATCGCCTCCCTTACGTTTTGTCTCTCCCCTTACATAAGCATGAACATATCACTTCTATAAATATTAATTGCTTGCATTTCAACTGCATCGGTTCAGCAAATCCTAAATATGTATATTAAAATGATGACACCGTGAGCCAAGTTACAGAGACATACGTGCATTGCAATAGACACTTGTTCTTTAAAAGATCACAACTTCGCTCTCTGCAGGTGCACTTATTCTTGACGATGTCTTCACAGTGGCCCTCCAGGGGGCAGGACCCCATGCACCCGCCTCTTGAGGGTGCCAGACATTACCTCTGAAAAACAGAAGCTAAAAAAGTGATGGGAGAGGTGCAATTATGCAAAATGTTATTCCAATTAACTCATGAAATAACACAATTGGTTTTTGATAGAATTGCTCCATGCAAGTTTGACTTTCTCACTAGATACGACCTGTAATCAGGATATGACTATAAACTATAAGTAAAATATTCATTAGAGTAGAAATTTTACATACCAGTACCTAACCCAGATTATTCAATCATGTTTATTTGTTGCTAGTGGATAGTCATTTTCTGTTTCCTTTTCTGCTCAAACACATGGTGTTTAAATACCACAAATTTCTGTTTCTTACCATTAAGCCTTCTTTTTTGCCCTTAATGTGGTTGTAGTAGTCTTCCATGCTCTCTTGAAAATCAGTATAAACTAATGTACAGGTGATTTCACAATGAGGAGAGCTACACTGAGATCCTAAGTGTTAGTTAATGCAATATGTATTGAAAAGATTCATTTGCAAATTTCTCATTTTTTACAAAAATTCCAGTCTGGGGCATTAGTGAAAAAGATGAAAGGTACATTAATCTATTTGTCTTATATAGTTACTCACTTTCATGGTGATAGATATAACTATCTCATCACTGACTGACATTGAAAGAACATTAAATAATTTTTCAGTTTGCATTGACAAAAGTCTTCATTTATTTATGCTCTGGCTTCATTAGAAATATGCCTCAAAGTTATTATGCAAATCTTTCATTAAGAGAATCACTACTTCTGTGCATACTTAGAGTCTTTCATATGGTTTCTGTGTGGGTGATACCGATGCTCCAAGTACATTCCTGCAAATAAATATATTCTAATTTTAAATTAATTTAAAAATTAATAATGATTGTACATGATGAATAAAAATAATAGTAAAAATCTGGCATTGAATATTCTGAGGCTGTGTGACCCATTGTTGTGTTTATCTTATTGTCTCTTGTATTGCCCAAACTTTCTTTATAGATGTACAGAGAGGTTTTGAAATGCATTACAAATAGTGAGTGTTTAATTTCATAAGATGTTTCATTTAAAAAAGTAACTATGATTATTTATTCCTTTTCTTGAATGAATAGTTGCAATCTGATTGCGTATATGTGTTCACTGGATCCTCTGTGTATCCACTCTGTTTTATACTATGGTGTATATCTATTGCCTGCTGAAATGGCATGTTGCATGTTGCTGATTTGTTCTTGTGCACACCCTATTCAGTGTTTTGTTTGCTGCCATTCTGGTGATTGGGTTTTTTGGGGATGTTGACAACAGGACTGCAAAATAAATTTGGACTAATTAAGATCTATTTAACTTGAGGTTGATACAGGCAAAGATTAAAGTCTGATGAACTCATTTGTGATTTTTTTTCACTTACAGTTATCACTGACAGTCCTCCAATTTAGTGAACTCATTTCATCAGAACATACTGTAACTTGCTGTGCCTGTCTTGAGCTTCCTGCTTAAGTTTTCTAGTTGCCCGGAACTAACCGTGGTCTTGCGGCCCAACAGTTTGACCACTGGCACCAGTTACCAAGACCACCAATGATTCTCGCCTGCCATGTCTTTGTTGGAACTTCAATCTTGGGGGAAAGGTGTCAATCCCAGCTCAGTGGTATCTTGTTAGGTCTAATCGTTAGCACAAGAAAATTGGGGCTTCACCTCCCCTACACCCCATCTAGCGTCAACCCATGGTTACTCCAGTGTTGCATGGATCTGATTTTACCTCGGATTTGTTCAGTCCCTTTTTTAGCTTGGTTCGCCCGGGCCAAGTCAATGTCTATACTTGGTTCCTCTTTGATTCAGTCCAGATGAACTAATATACCCCCAAAGGGGCAAGAGGGGCGTCAGCCTTCGCCTGTTCCTCACTCATGGTTCTTTACCAGTTGTCCCTCTCTTCTTGTCCTGCAGATCTGCTGCTGCCTTGGCTCCACTCTCTGGAGTCAGACTTCCACATCACCTCTCCAGGTAAGTTACCTGATTCCTCTGAGTCATCTTGTAGGGGCAGCTCCTCAGTCAGAGGCTGCCACCAGCCACCCCTCCTGGGGCTTGTAGCTTGGCTGCAGCATTCCCTCACTGCTGGGACCTTACTTCTGGTTCTGCCTTTGAACAGGCTTGTGGGGCTTTTAACTTTGCCCCGCCACCCCTGCTGGTGAATCGGCATGTGCTTATAAAGCATGTCCACACTAGTAGCAGATTTATTTTTCCTTTGGGAGTCCTCGCCCCTGCTGGCTGTGGCTCAGTGCCATGGCGCCACAGGTAAGTCCTGTGGTGTGGCGATTTTGCTGCTGCCACCATGTTCCTGCAGCTCAGCATGCTGTAGCACCATCAGTAAGACTTGCAGTGTGGTGATCTTGCTGTTGCCACCATGTTCCCATGGCTGAGCAACCTTACTGCCCCTGCCACACATAGGAACCATAGTGGGATGCCTGCTTCCTTTTCCAATTGGTCACTTGTTTAAAAAAGATCAAGTCCTCTATCAACCTGCTCAAGCAAAATTTCATATATCACCAAAAGCTGAAATTGCTGGACAGGAACTCTAATCCATTCCTAAATTTCACTATCCTAGTAGTGTTATGATGTGTAACACCATAAGCACTAATGAAACTTCAAACAGAATTGCCTAGGAATCCTAAGAAGGGGACTTTGTGCCTGAAAGTTTATCTAATATTTTTCCCAACTATGCAGTTGGTCCAATAAAAGATACCACCAAAAATCTTGTTTCTTGCCTAAGAAGGCATAGTGTTTGGACAGCTACAAGACCACTTTGGAATCAGAGAGGCATCACACTCCAGACCAAAATAAAAGTGTGTGCAGTGGTCCTGACATTCCTGCTTTGTGCACTATACCCAAAGTTTGGACTCATTCCACCTCAGCTGTCTCCAGAATACTGTGAAAGTGAGAATGGCAGATAATATTCTGAACACAGTAATTCACTGAGGTGCAGAGAACAATCATTCATGCCATGATCATCAAAGCACATTTGCAGTGTTTGGCCATATAAAGAAAAGTTATTGGATGACCACTTACCAGATAAGCTTTTCTGTTACAGGTTGCCCTCTGGTAAATGAACCAATGGTAAATTTCATACCTGCCCTACGGACTGCCTGAAGGTTCAGTTCCAGCCTTGCAATATTGACTCCCATACTTAGGAGCAACTGGTGTGGGATAGGATAACATGTTGTTACCTGACCTATGCAGATGTAGCCCTTTTTGAAAGCCAGTGCACTGGAGATGTTGAACTCAAGTGCCAGAAGAAAAATATTGGTTGATGTGTCCTCTACAATGGCCTGAAGAACAGTTTTGTCCAATGTGAGGAATCTTCAGTTGGTGAAAGAGAAGTTGAGTTTTTAGAGCATGAACTTGAGGGTATAGACACACATACTGATTGGACATTTCAAAAATCTCACTCTTCCTGGAAACAGAGGTGCACCGGACAGTCCCACCTGGCCCAGGTGCCTATCTGTTTCTGAAAGGTATTGTACAGGGTTGAACTAGGAAGGGCTGCAGTGAGGAAGGGGCACTCCTCCACAGTCATTTCACAATCTGGCTCTGTAAGTACACTTTCACCTGGCTGCAGCTGTGGTAATGACCACGTTGCGGCACCCCTGGAAGAGTCTTGCAGCACCTTGCAGAACCACTGGTCTGGATGACCGCAATTTAAACCATGTTTAAAATGATCTAATTCAGGGATAGGCAACCCCTGTCACGGGTGCCAGAATATGGCACTTGAAGGCATTTTGCTTGGCACACGTGCCTTGGTGTGGGTCATGGGGAGGGACCAGGGCTGCGCTGCCCACCACAAGGGTTAGGCCCTTCGCCACTCCCCCGCTGTCCACATCTTACAAGTCAATTTTGTGGGTGTTTTTGGTACTCTGCCCAAAAATGTTGCCAATCCCTGACCTTATTGTTACATGTGACATTCTCAGAGTCATGCTGAATGCTGCAATCTTACACCTAGTTTCTGCAATGCACTTCATAACATGCTCTAATTTTGTAAATACAGTGTTCAGTATTAAGATGATACAGCACATATATCCGTTATGTACTTTTAAATTTCTGTTTCTCTATTACTAACAATATTGTCCTGCAGAATTTTTATGACTTATTCATCCAAAATGTAATCACACACAGTTACAATTCTAATATTTAGTTTTTTATTAATATTTAATTATTGAAAAATCATCTCGAGTTCCTTAGAAAGACTCTTTCTTATGACTTTTCAGCAAATGAGATGTGGGGAGTGTGTGGAGGTGTCAACTGTTAGCATTTCTTTTGTTTCCATTATTTTTAAAATATAAATATATAGGTACATCACGGCCTAATATTTTATAATCATCTTTTAAAACAACTCATAAAAAATTTATTTTAGCATTTCACTGAGATTCATTTAAAATAACATTGTAAGGTATTTTTACTAAAACCACACCAAATGTACTCTTTACATATACATTATTTCAAGCAGAATTCATTTCTCAAAAAGAGTGACAATTTACTTCTGAATGGTAGTGCCAAAATTTAAAACCTGATATAGAAAATCTATTTTTGTATTTTTATTTTCAGCTTATTAAAACACTCCAATAGAGGTAGTTTGATAATAGCTATTAGCTCTAATTTAATAGTAGTATTTAGTACTGAAATGATTGATACAATCCATAACAAAGAACAATAACTACAATAAACCAATGATATCTGTGTTATAAGAAAGCAATAGTCAATGAGTTGTGTAATTCTGTGTTCCCTGAAAAATGGTAAAATAAAATCTAGAGTTATACTTGTTGATGACTCAAAAGATGAAGCTGAGATTATATGATATTTCTGATTAAACTGATTGGTCTAAATTGTGGCACTCAAGCTTTTATGGCTCTCTGGGAGCATGAAACACTGGTTCAAGAAACAAAACACTGGTCTAAAACATACTTCTTGCTGCGGAGATATACATGGCAACTTGGTGTCCTTGGGCCCATTTTGGACATAAAAGTCTATTTAACATTTACCTTTTTAGAAGTCATTTTCTTTGCTGTCTGTAGAATGTTAGTGGAAATTAATGCAAAGACAGAATGTGTCTGTTAACTCAAAAAACACTGAATTTAATCAGTCATTTAAAGATATAAGGTAGATAATATATAATCATATGTGTACAAAAAGGATATTCACTCTGTTTTTTAACATTAAACAGCTTATAGACAATATTCTGACTGTAAGAGACCAAATGCTCTCTCCTAGTTTTTCTAAATGCAGACTTACAAATATAGATACCAGTGGTGAAAGTGCTGGCTCCACTGAAATTAGTGACAAAACTAATGTTAATTTCAATAAGTCTAGGACTGTTTTATTAAAATCAACATACTGCAGTGCAGAAAGTACAACAGAATATTACATTTAGTTGTGCATTTTTACATTTGCATCACTCTAGCATTTTAAAGGTTACAAAAACATTATTTTAATGACTAGCAAATTGCCCATCGTGAATGATGAGGGAGGGGGGAATGGAGCACCGCCACCCAGCGCCCTGTGGTGCAGATGTTCTGACTCCAGCCCCATGCACTCCCCCACCCCCCACATTCTCCCCCAGTGGTGATTGCCGACACCCAGTGCTCTGTGCTGCCGCCAGTCTGTGTCCAGCCACACGCAACATCCCTCCCTTCCTTGCCTCCCCTCCCTCTCTCCTCCATCCCTCCCTGCCGCCTCCCCACTCTACTGGCTGTTGTCGGGGCCGGGCAGTGGCGGCAGCGGGGGGGTGGTGGGGGGTGGGCACCGCCACCAGAAACACCCCCATTCCCCATCCCACTCCCCTCTCTCCCTCCCTTCCTCCCCTCT